AGGGAGGCAGGTGGCAGCACGGGGAAGGGGTGCGACCCGACCGCAGGGAGAAGGGGGTAAATCTTCCCCGCGGATCCCCCGGCAGTTTCTCCTCCCTCCCGCAGGTGTCTCCGGAGCAGGTGATCCTGTCCCACAGCCCCCTGCGGCTCTTCAGCCAGTTCCACCCTAAGTGCATGCTGGTGGCTGGGCAGGGGCCCGTGGAGGAGAACGCCCAGAAGTATCCTTTGCTGCGCATGTCTTGTGGCGCTCTGCGTGTCCCGCTACCGCTTCCCAGCTAAACGCTGCTGCTCCTGCCCTGCCCATACCCCTGGCACTCGCTCGGTCAGCTTGTAGAAGCGCAAGGAAACAGAAAGGCTATCGGTCTCATCCTGTGGGGAGTCACTCACTGTTGATCTCCATCTTGGTCACCTCCTGGCTGTCCTTGGTCTGTGTTTGGCTTCTCACACTGACTGCCTCTCCTGTGAGCTGCGTTGCTGTTCCTGCTGGTCGGATGTCACCATGAGGACTCCATCGGCTTTGGGCTTCTCTCACTTTTGAGATGAAATTGTGCTCCTTCCCATTCTTTCTAATGCAAAGTGAATTAGAGACCACTCGCAACTCTCCCACAGCTAAGGTTTTCCCCAGGAATCTGACAGCAACTGAAGGAACTCAAATATCATTAGAACCAGAGCATCCCAGTACAGGGACGTGGTCTAAATGACAATCCCACATGCGTATTGCCTGGCTGAGGCGAGGGCACAGCAGGTCTGACATATCCCATGTCTGCAAGGAGGTAAGAACTGCCTGCAGGGTTTGCGACATCTCAGCCTGTACACACACACAGTCGCGCCTTGTACTTAACGTTTGACTTCATTTGGTACAGAACCTTGGCCTGTCTCTCTTTCCCCAAGGCCAGTAGGGTGAGCTAAGGGCAAGGTGTTCTGAAAGCAAGTGCAACTCATCCTTCACTTGCATTGTTTTATGAGCACAGACCATTTTCTTTTCACTAGCTAAGCTGACCAGAGCTTCAATGATTCTGCTTCTAGCCAAGAAGCCTGACCAGCCCCCTGCGCTGCACCAATATGAGAACCCTGGCCTTAAAGGTCTCCCAGAGCACACCCATCCTGTCTTGGAGCGACCTCTGCTCTTGGCCTAGTTCCAGGGATTGTTGATCACAAACTAAATCACCCCAGTCTGGTTTTTTTTTTGTAACCTTTAGGGCCACCTTTAGGTTGAAGCACAGCATACAGTTTGACTGAAAGCCATGAGGTTATGCGTTACCAGGTTAAATAACTGCTCTGCTACTAGGACTTGTATTCCTTAATCCTGTAGATGCTTTTGCAAGTAACTTAAAAAAATAGTCATCTCCACAACTTTCCTTGATGGTCTGAAATAGGCTGGGGTTCAAGCATGTGGTCACTATAGAGGCACTGAGGAAGGCATATCCCCTGTTAGACATGGTGGATCAGAGCCGGAGACCAAAGGAGCTGGTAATTTCCTGATGGATCAGTAGAATGGGTGGTCTGGTGTGGTGGTGCTTACAGCGTATAGCATGGGGTGGAGAAGCTGCAGAGGCACAGAGCAGCTGGCTGCTAGTGACTTTCTTTAGCGAGAGCCTGGGACTGGTACTGAGCAGCCAGCATCCATCTGCTCTTTCCAGCGTTGTCTTCTGCTGCTAGGGCAGTGACTTTCCCCTTCCCTTTCTCGTGCCATGCCTGTCTTTCATTGCTGTTCCTTGCGGTAAGTGGTAAGATGGTTTGGCTGACATTTCTAGCTCCAAGACAGGAATGCAAGATCTGTGAAATCCAATCTGGGATGCCGGGGGGGCGGGGGGGGAATCTTTCTTCAGGATTCCAGGTGGCCTTGTCCTGCCTCTTTATGGGACTGCCTTGGCAGGTCCAAAGGAAGCATTTTAGTTTTGTTTTGGAGACAGTATTAGGTTTTGCATTACTAACCCACCCTTTGTTTTTTTGTGGCAGCCTCCTCCAACCACTGGCTTCCCCACTATAGAGGGTAAGTAATAGCCTTTGTTTACACATGAACAGCAAGCAGAAATAACATTCAGGCAAGCCAGGTGGGATGGGAGCTAACGATGTGCTGTCAGCTCATCAGTATCCACAGACAGCTTATTCGGAGGATACAGTCAGGAGGCAGCCTTGCTGCCCTCACACAGTGTGAAGCACAAGCTGGTAAGAGCAAAGCCAACTTTTCTCTCTGCCATGTTCCAACATCTGGAAGCAGTGGTGCACGTGGTACAGTGGTGTGCAGACTGGAGGCCTGGCACAAGCCGTGTTCAGACGGTAGCTGTATAAGCCATGGCATCCCAGCAGAGGGGTGCTTTTGCTAGTGGGTGGCTTTTGGTAGTGGGTCCTGTACTTGGACTCTGTGAGTTTCCAAGCATCTCTTGAAATCTTCCAGGGGTGATTCTGTTTGGTGAGCCAGTGAGGTGGGAGACAAGCCTGCAACTTATTATTGACATACTCTTGAGCAACGGGAACCCTGGGGCAGAGCTGCAAGATATACCATACCCCCATCTGCCTGTCCTCGCCTGCAACATGGATCTCCTGTGGATGGCTGAAGCCAAGATGCCCAGGTGAAAAGCATGTCTGGTATTTGTTTTAGCCTATTTCATACATCTCTCCTGCAGATGATCTTTTCTTAGATACTACATTTTTTAGCATTAGAGCCTGCCTGTATGGCTTAATTAGCAGCAGAGACATGAAAACTGCACGAGAAACAGAGACTAAAACTTTTGAGAAGCAAAAGCCAGACCACTGCCTGTGGAGGTGTGTGTGGGTAGATACCGTGTCCAAACTAGGCGGTACCCTGGCTACAGCAGATGGTCCTCCTCACTGAGAGGTGTTTGCTGCTTAAGTGGTGTGACTGGAGATACCGATGACCTCCTTTCTGGACCAGGTTTGGCCATGGCACTTTCCTTCTCTGCTTGGAGAGCATCTACAAGAAAGTGACAGGCCGGGAGCTGAAGTATGAGGCTTTGATTGGCAAACCCAGCAGTGTCACCTACCGCTATGCCGAATACTTGATAAAACAGCAGGCAGAGGAACAGGGCTGGAAGTCTCCCATTCGACGCCTCTATGCAGTTGGGTAAGAGACTGTTTTTCCCACTGGTTTTCTTAGGGAGTTGCATACTGACTTCTCTTAAGTGTTTTTTTTAATGGCTATTTCTAAAACGAATACCGAAATCCCCATGCGTCTCTGGAGCCTCGCATCCTAGAACAGAGGCTTTTTGCACCCTACGCTTTTAATAATTTGAAGGGCACTGTCAGCCTAGCAAAGCTGTTACTGTAGGATGCAGAGTACATGTAGCATGACTGGACTAAAGAAAAAGTTAAGAGACCCAGATGTAGTACCATTAGCCCAGTTAGGCCAAACACTTTGGGATGATAGGGGGTACGTTACAGTAATGGCTGAAACTGGTATGGGTGCTTTGGATGTGTCTTTTCCCCTTTGAAAGATGTTTGTGAAGCATGTGGCCTTCACCACAGCTGAACAGGACACACCAGTAGGTGGACTCACTGGCCCAGGCTGGGTGGTTCTCTTGATGTTAGCGAATATCTTGTGCCCCTTCCTCCCTCAGTGCTGCCTTAATCCCAGTCTGCCAGAGCCAGAAATTGATGCATGGGCTAGTTTCTCATTTCTGTTTCACACTGTGACCTTATCCAGGGATAACCCTATGTCCGATATCTATGGGGCAAACCTCTACAACAACTACCTCAAGTCAGCTCACCAGAACCAGGTCCAGGCTGGTGTGAAGAGGAGCCCGCAGGCAGCCAGTCCCCAAACTGAGGATCACCTCGAGCTGAGGAAGGGCTACAACAATTCAGTGGAGAGTTGCAAGTCGATTCTGGTCTGCACTGGGGTCTACCGCCGCGATGTAGATGTCCCCAGTAACACAGAGGAGTGCACGACGGAGATGGTATTCCATGGCCATCGGGACTTCTGCTTTGACCCCAGCCTGGTGGAGGCTTCTTACATAGTGCAGGATGTGAATGATGCTGTGCAACTTGCTTTCAAGAAGGAGAACTGGAGCTAGGGTTAAGACAGGTATGCCTAAGGATCTACCGTCAGGGATTTTATGTACTGGAAAGGGAAGAGGAGAAGAACGGGGAGAGACCTGGGGTGATCCTCCAATCTAGCCAACATGAAAGAAAACTCCCTGTCAGCACTAAAAGCCCCTTGCTTTTATTGATACTCATCTGCAATCCTCACAGCTGCCAGCAGGTTTTCAACTGTGAATGTACATTGCTGCCATCAATAATTGAGCCATAATGCAAACAGGGTATAAGGAGAAGGCTTGTCCCAGCAATCCCAGTTTTGTTCAGCCATCTGAGTTGTTTCTTTTCTACCCTTTGTACATGAAGATAGGGCAAGCCCACCCTCCTCCTCCCATCCTCCAGGGAAGAGGATGAAGCTCTTCCCTGTGCAAGGAGCCACCATCAGCCAAAGTACCTTTCGTACAATGTACTATTCGTCCAGTCTGTGACGTGAGCGCACCAGAAGCTGTGTTGGGGTGACACTGCCAAGGAAAGGCTTTAAGTCTTAACATTCTCCTTACGAAGAATAAGTGCCTATGGACTTTAACAAATTCTGTTTGCTTGGGGATTTGCCACTGCATCACTGTCAGTCTGAAACAAAGTCCCATTTTGCAGTCCTCCAGCAGCTATGGAGAGGCAGGGCCCCTCAAAGGAAGCTGCAGTAGCCAGAGCAACTTGCTGCAGGGCCAAGGAGAAGGTTACATTATTCCCTCCCTGCTATTTAGCATTCTGTGAACACTTCTGCCTTTTCGCATCCCGCTAGGGAGCCAGCAGCCTGCTCTCAATAGCAGAGGAAACCACCACAGAGTCTGAATTTCCAGAGGTGTCTTTGCCCAGAGCTCAGTGTTGCAGCAAGAGGCTGTTTTGGCACGCACCCTGACCCCAAATGTTGCAAGGGACATCCACCTGCTCCAGCTGGCACAGCTTCCAAAGAAGGGCCCCTCTTTGGAACAAGGGCCAACCAGAAAGAGTCACAGCCCACCTTTGCTTCTTCCTTGCATGCAGGGATTGAAAGAGGAGATCATCAAGCCAGGGTGGTACCTGAGCCCCAAATCCCCAATCCTCATCTTTAAGAGTACAAATGTTTCTGTCCTTCACATCCTTTTTTCCTCTCCTCCCTCATGTGGTTTGCAACTCAGGGATACCCCATATGGTCTGATCCCTGTTCCCTCCTCTTCCTTTAGCATGCAGGTAGAGTCCTCCTAACATGAATTAGCAGCTGGGACTTGCCTGTCCAGGAACATTTCCATATCCCTAATGACATGCACCTCTGTTTTCCTAGCTTGGGCTATCCAGAGAAAGATCAAGCCCTGTGTCTCCTTAGACAGTCCAAAGAAGTTAATCAAGCATTGCTTGAGAAACTCCATGTGAAAGATTGGCTCAGCAAGGAGTGCCTTAATTCCAGAGGAGCATTGTGATTTTAGAAGCATAAATCAGCCTGCGTATGTGACAGAAAGCCTTTGGAGCCAGCACAACTGAGTTGGTGTTCCTAGGTACGCTCAGCTCACACCACACTGAGATCAGAAATAGGTCTGCTCTGCCTCCTCTTTCTTCCTTCCTGCTTTACCAGGCAGCTCCATACACAGGATGTTCTGCGCAGAAGTCTGGGTTATTCTTAATTAAAATCTCAGCATCCATGTGCACTGACATTCTGCTTCAGCAGCTCTCCATCCTCGATACTGATGTATCTTCCTAGGAAGATACTGGAAAGGGAAGTAGCGGAGCAGGCTCTTTTCTTAGTTATGCCAGGCTCTGTGTCTGAAGGGGACCGGGTGCTCTGTCAGTGACCCAGGCAAAGAGGTCCTTCTCCATGGCTTCTTTCTCTATATACCTTATTTTCTGAGTAGGAGCAGAAAAATACCTCTTTTGGGTGAATTTCCCTCCTGTGAAATCCACAGTGGGAAGCAGTCTCTTCCTCTCTTAGCGCTAGCTGGGGTTCTTCTCCTTTGTCTTATCAGGACAAGAATCGCTTGGCTGCTTCTAAAAGCAGCCGTGATGTGAGGAACACAGTCTTAAATTTGAATCCTTTGCCTTTCACTGGAGAAAAAAAAAAATTACCATTTCATCCACCTACACAAGACAAGGACTTGTCTGCAGTTCCCAGAAGGATAAGTCCAGGGAGGGACTTTGCATAGAACATAGGGAAGGTCTTTTAGCTTTCAGAGCACATCCACAGTCACAATTGTGCTGTGGACCCAGTGTGCAAGGCCTGAAACTGGAGACCCAAAACCCATTTATTCATAAACTAGGTCCAGTGTCTCTCAGCCTCACTTTGCGGGGGTGACATCCAGTGCAGAAAGAGGAATGCTCCCTTTCCTTGCAATAGTTGCTAACTTGGGTGATAAGTTTTGTAGGATTAATTTGGAACTGTCTTCTAGGCCATGATTACATAGACCTCGAAGAGCTGGTTGCTGGCAATAACGCCTTCAATTTGGTAGGTACTTATCTGCAGAAATACTAAGGTCTGTCCATCTGTGTGCAGTAACCTTTGGCAGAGCTCTTTCTTGTTACTTGTTAAGATTGTGGTGCCAGTTACTCAAAGACAAGGTGCTGCTGGATCGGCTGTCCCAAATGGAGCCAGGTGCACTGGCTGCTGCTCCGATGACGGCAGTAGCTTTGTGGAAGGAACTTGCAGAAGAATTTTGAGAAATCACAAGCGGTTTGTAATTTCATATCAGCATGCACGGCACATCTCAGCCAGAAGTGAGGTCGGTAGCAAGGGGAAGGAGGGAGCACCTCCTTCAAGAGAGGAAGAGCATTTGCACAGAGAGTGAGCCAGGCATCTCTGTCTTTGGAATAGCAGTGGAGGTGACCTGACTGATGTGAATCTGCTTCAGATTCCAAGTCTGCTTTTGGGTCCAGATTTTTTTTTTTTTTTTTTTTACCATGTTAGTGACGTTGAAACAGTGCTCTGGGAGTCTTAAAAATGCGTAGGAGGAACTTCAGTGATAAGGAATTCAAGAAATGCTTCGCTTGCCAGTTGAAATTGGACAGAGGGGAGGAGAAGAAATCTAGAAGAATCTTGTACCCTTTCCCCAATTCTTACCAAGTAGGGTTGCATAAAAGGCTCTGCTTGTTGGTCTGTGCACTAATTAGTCAGATGGGCTGCCCTTGGTCTGAGCAACGCTGAGACCTTTCCCCTCTTCCCCTGCTCAGCTCCTTGAAGCAGTGCACTTTGCCCAAGTCACTGCCCGGGAACAGCATGGGCACAGTGGATGGAGCAGGAAACCCAGCTGCTGTTGGATACTGGATTGTGAAAGATTTCTACAGAGGAAGGTGCTTGCCAGGTCTCTGTTCCAAGCGTTTTGTGCTAGAGTGCTGTGCAGGCTTCTAGCTTATCTGCAGTTCATTTACGGACATCTGTTATTGCTAAAATTCGGTGAAATCCTTTTTCCTTGGAATTGCAGCTTCCTGGAATTAGCTTCAAGTGTGGCTGGAACAAAACCTTTCCTTTGTCTCATGTGTTGCACAGAAGTGGTATTTCTGAAGCCGTATTTCTCTCATTTGGAGCAAGCACACTTCTGTGCAGATTATGGGACCAAGCAGGAGAGGGGACTTCACTTGCTGACCTAATACCTTAATATTTATGTGGTGCACTGCCCTAGACAACAAACATGGCGAAGACCCGATCCTATCAGCTCCATCTTCCACAGATGGATAGGTTTTAGTCAAGCCTAAAGGGAGCGTGCAATGACATGAGGCAACTGAGAATAGCAGGGAGGACCCAGAGGAGGGATAGACCTTGTTTTGGATCTGAAGCAGAGCGCTTTTATTTCATGCAATATCGTGGTGGCCAGAGAGGTCAGTTCCTTTATTCCACAGGACACATGCAACTACTAGCCTGGTGTTCAGGGAGTCATATAAAACTACTGTCCCCTTTCTTCCAGTTTTAATCCTGGTGTGTCTTTTTCCCTGCAATAAATGGGTAATGTTTCAGATTCTGTCACGTACACTGTAGCAGAGCGATTACGTATCATACAGAGAAATCACAAGCTGTGATTGTTTTAGATTTCATATTAATTTTGACCCAGTTTCAGAGTTGCTCCTTTGATCTAGCACATATAAAAAAATAATAAAAGATGTTTTCTTTGAAAGAAATTTTAAGGTGTTGTGTGTACATTTCATGAGCGTTGTCCTGATGTCTTTCACATCTTTGCCCTAGGAGATTATCAGGACAAATTCTGTCTTTTGTTCTGTTCATCAAGCCATTCTCATATTTTCTTGAGAGAACCATCTTGAAAGATACCCCTCCAGTTATTCTTTTGATTGGACGAAACTGTAATTCCTTTTAAGCTCTACATCTGCCATAGTCGGGTGAGATGAGTGCAACTTTGACCATTCCCACTCTGAAGGAGAGAAAAAAAGGACACATCACAAGCTATGATGCCCAGACTGACTGTTCACAGTCAAGAATAGTTTGGGGATGCCACCTGTATACGAGATGATTTCAGGGTAGGCATTTAGTTGTGACCTGACCTAAGCAGTTGTTTGTAACGATTACTTCTACTGCGTGGGGAAGCCACAAGCTAGATTCTACCAACATAATCTGCTGTTGCAGATGAAGAACAAGCTTAAGGGCGTATGGAAAGCCATCCTTACCATTAGAAGCTTAATCAGCACTGTGATAAACCCGTTGTGATCATAAAAGGAACACAACTTGTTTGACGAGAGCAGTGCTCTGGTACCATCTGAGAAAGGTGGGTGGAGTTAGGGAGACATACACTAACTGGCAAACTTTCAGATTAGAGCCAAAAGCTTCCACTGATTTCAGCAGGTGGAAAGCTAAAGATCCCAGTAGGTGAAAACCATCAGCTTTAATGATCTAGAAACAGCCAATTCACTTGCATCGTTCTTATAAGCTATTCCACCAGAAGGTTTTCCATCTACAAAGTTCACAGCTCACAGGAGGCACAGCAAAACAAGCATGATTCAGAGCCCTGAGAACTTCCTGATGTTGAAAGGAACAATCGATAAAGCAGTAAAAGCAGTTTTGGAGGGACAGGGCAAGGATTCCCATTCTCAGCAGAGAAAGGAATCGAGTCATGTTCTACATCCTGAAGAAATGACCTACGGCCCCGGCCTCAAATAATAATAAAAAGCATTAACCAGCCCCCTCCTTCTATCCAGTACTCAGGTAATTGGAGGACTCGCCCAAGATAGGGCAGCTCAAGGTTCAGTTGGGCAGAAAGAGATCAAACCCTGAACCTCTCGAATGCTTTTAATCACTATAGTATTGTCAAAGCAAAAAGGCAGCCTAGGGTGAAGGTGTCCCTTGTAGGAGAGAGCCTTAGCTGGAAGCTAGAGTCCCATAGAAATCCTTAACCAACGTAAGGAGCAGAGTTAAACATTTGGCATCGTGAAACACTGAAGAAGGAACAACTTGAACAAGAGGGACTGAGAGCCCTATTCAGGTTGGAGTTTGCTCCCAAGTGGATGCGGTGAGAAATGCCTACCAGAGTAAGCCCTGAGAAGTGCTTAGTCTATAGTTTCTGGTGGGCCTTGAACACAAGCTAAGCAGTTACCTGCTCACCCTGGTAGAGGTGTTGGCCCTTCAGGGGCCTGCGCAAACCCTTCCTTTACTGAATCTACCTAACCTCAATTATAAAAGCACACGTCTTTATGGATTTTTGCAGCCACACAGGCAATTTGATGAAAGTTATGCACTTAAAGACCTTTATGGATCCAGACTGCAACAGTTTAAAACCCCACACCAGCAAGGCAGCTACACGTTCTCTAGGAACTAAACTGTTCCATCGAGAAATCACTTTTCTCTAATTCACTGTAATAAACCTGCTTTTCCCGTTCAGTCAGTTCAACTACTACGATCTTTCACTTTCTCCTCAAGGTCAGTTCCATTACACACTGCGTGCTAAGACTAAGTACAAAATACTAAGAGCAACCCCCAAATCCTCTTCACTCTCCAAACCCCTACCCCGCTACAAGCATGAAAAACATCTCTTTGCATTTTATGCTGGTATCAAAAGCTCTTTGAACTGAAATGTAATTACAGGCGATAGATTGTTACACTTTTACACCCTTTTGAAGAGCACCTGTATTCCCCAAACCGTAATACTGGATCAGCAGTTTAGTTACAAAGACTCTGCGTTCAGAGGTGGACAAACCGAGGTGTCTTTGAGTTTTGATGCTGGCCAGGTGAAACTCTTCTACGCTTGCCTGTAACTTCAACCCTGACCGTTTGAATGGATAAGTGCAGTACAAAGCGTGTGTCAGAGAATCCCAGAACCTTCCTTTCCCACACAAAAGGCATTTTAAGTATGGTTAGAGCAGATTATGCTCAAACTCACTGAGATCAGCTTTGCCTCCTTCCCTCCCACTGCTGCCAGTTTCTGACAGCTTACTGTAGGGTATAATTAGGGATTTAGTTTCTGGTCTTTCTTTCAGGCATATATTTGCCTCTTTTTTTTTTTTTTCTTCCCTCAAGAAATCGAGTCATTATTTTGTTTCCTCTTGAGTTCTGCCCTCAAGAAAGTTTTGTCTTTCCCCCAGCAGGGGTATTTTTGAGGGCACACTACTTGTTTCCACTAGTAGTGTAAACTAGAAATGGTAGCATTCTAGGTATTCAGCGTGACTGTTTCACAAAACTCTGTTGTCTGCTGCTTGCCTTTAAATATATGTACACACACACACATATTTATGCATACACATTAATACATAAAGAAGCCAAAAAAAAAACCTTTGGAGCTGCTGAAGAGTAGAAGCTATTTATAGTTTAACCTTTTAATGTTTTAACAGTAATGGTTAAGCACTAACGCTTCCAAGGACTGCACGTTGCATTAAATAACTGGATCACGTGGGAAGCATCAGCTTGTCATGTCTCATCCTACAGTGTGCTACAAAAAGCTCTTCAGTGCTTTCTTGAGTAGAAGACATTTCTCCCCTCACTCCCATTTTAAGGTACAAGCACAATTTCTGCTTCCTTCCCCACAAATAAGCTCTTTTCTTATTCTCACCTGTTTGTTTGGGTTGTGTTTGCCCTGCTGGAGCCCATGCTCAGCCCAAGGAAGCCCCTGAGATCCCACCCTCCTTCCCAGTGCTTCCCCATCCCTGCTCATGGCTCCCCTTGCCCTATAGCCATAGGTCCCTGTTCCCACCTGCCTACCTTGGATGCAGGGACCTTCCCAGACCCAGCAGGGATCCTTTAGGTCTCTGGAGAACAGTTGCCATAAGGCTCCTCTTGCCCTGTTCAGGCAGCCTCAGCCCAGCAGGACCGTGCTCCCCAGGGTACAAAAGGTGCAAACCCCTTCACTAAGCACGTGCTAGCCCAGGCAGGCCCACTTAACACCCAGCTCCCCCCCAGGTGCCTCACATCCCCCGTTCCCCTGGGCTGAGCTCACCACATCACCTGGCTGGTGTGTCAGAGCCCTTTTCCCCAGATGGGCAGGCCAGCTGCGGGTGACAGCCCATCCCTCCTGAAGCCCAGGGCCCCCCATCCAATTGCACTTACCCCAGCAGGTGGGACAGATGCTAGCCCAGCAAGAAACACACCCAAACCTTTGCAAAACGAGGCTTCTTTGTGAAATGAGCCTCTGGACCGAAAGCAGAGGAGACACGAGTGCCTGTGGGCAGACTGCCAGGGCAGCTAAGTGAGCATGTCCAGCCTGCGGCGCCCAGGGTGCAGGGAAGCACATTGCCCAGGAAACTTGGAGCATGAGAGCCAACGAGGCAAAGCTGTCACCGTCTGCTGCCCAGGTAGGGCAGGAGCAACCCTCTCTGCGTGAGGGCTGTTGCCCTGAGCAGCCCAGATGGATGCTTGTTTTTTCACTCCACATCCTCTTGTAGAAGTGGAAAACTTTTCTTGCAGGGGAATAGGTGAATGTGGTAGGAGCAAGACCGATTTAGCTAATCCTCAGGACTGACCACACACTAATCATGCCAGTGACACAAGCGTTGGCTTGCCCTGAGAAGGGTCAGGTGAATGTACCCACGTTAGATAAAGACCAGGATCCAGTACATAAGAATGTGGTTTTACCTTCTACCCTTGATCACCCACACTTAACACTGCCATCTAACCCAGCCTTTCTATGGAAACCAAATTAGGAGACACAGCCGGTGCCGTTCGCAAACCCTCGCTGCTACCCTGAGCCATCCTGAACTGGGCAACTCCCGACACCAGTCAAAGAGACATAGCACTGGGCCCTGCTCAAACCTGAAAGAGCAACGCAGACAGCAAACGTTCTCCTTGGCCATGGCCTCGAGCCCCACACTCCCTATGTAACAGAGATCATCCAACAGAGCCCTAAGCAAGGTGTTTGTGGGGTTGTACAAAAATTGTAGCCAAAGCAATTGTTTGGCCATGTTTTTTTTTTCTTTGGCAGGCAAGTCTGTCAAAGAGAGAAAGCCTTGCCAGCGAAACACGCAGCACTCGGTGGCAGAGCCCAGGTGCAGCGCCTTCACCTCGGACAAAGTCCACATACCTTGAGAAGCTGGAGAGCAAAGCAAACACGATGGGAACGTATCTGGCAAGAAAGGAGAGGCGGCTCGCTGTCTTCTTGCATCTTGAATGACCTCAGACTAAGCTGCTCGGCTGAGAGTGGTGCTGGATTGCTTCTGTCACACAAAAGCTTGCTGTTTTCCTGTGACGGATGGCTGTGGGCCGGCACCACGCCCCAGCAATGCAGAGGGAAGAGTGTCCCCTGCATCACTGTGGAGGCAGCAATGCGCAGTGCCTCCGAGGCATTGACATGGGATGTGGATCAGGGGGAGCAGCCCCTGGGGAAGGGCAGCCCCATGGCTCTGTGTGACAGAGGGGATGCTTGAGGTGTGACCCCCGGGCCAAGTGCCTCAGCTGAGGCCCACCAGCTGCCTGGACTAAATGCAGGCAGCACTGTAGAGGGCTGTCGGTAGCCTGCCGTGAGAGGTCCTCAGCCTCAGGCTGCCATGCAGTCACCTGCTGGAAAATAAATGGCGACAGCCCTCTTTGGACCCACCTGATCTTAAACTTGTGACTGCCAGTGACGCTTGTCACAGTTACAAGGCTAGCGGTGCTGCCCGCTGCATCCTGGTCCCTCTGTGAGCATCTGCATAGGTGTCCTGCCTGTTTTGCCCTGGGCTGAGGCCTCATGTCCTCCATCCTGGCA